TTATGGCTGGGGTTGAAGGGGGGAAAAAAACAACAACAAAAAAATTATTTGTTAGCCTGAGTCTTGCGGCACTGGTACGTGCAGGGCTTTGAGCGAGATTCCTGGCGGTGCGAATAGGAAGAGGCTGCTGTTTTCCTCAGCCGAGAGGCGCAAATGGTAAATGCCTGACTGGGAGGGGGGCGAGAGGCTTACCTGTTGTGTTAAAATATTTCGTGACAGCAAAACAGTTTTTTATGTCTCTTACGATGTTTTATGAAGTCAGAACGGCCACCTAACCCGTTGGTTGAGATTTTTATCATACCTGTGACAATTTTCCACCTATCTTAAAGACCTAAAGGATTGTTCGGAACGCCTGGTGCTGGGCTATTGCTGGATCTCCCCAGGGAAAGATGGCACAAAACTGGATGCAAGGGATTCTCGCTTTGAATATGAACGGATCTTTTTGATGAGAAGGATTTGAGGAAAATAGCCTGTTATTAATTATTTAAGAATACACTTCCTGGTCTTGTTCTATAAGCGGTTTGGCTTTATTCCTGCAAATGGATTTGTGTTGAAAGACCCTGGGTCCATAGGGATGCAGTAGGCATATCCAAGAGATTTGACAGCAGGATTGGGCATTTGTGTCCTATTTGCTTATGGTATAGCTGTTCTATACATTCATCATCTGTACATTCGTCATACATTCGTCATCTATAACATCATTGTGTTCATTAGTCTGATTGGACAAATCCCTACTCTGACACTGGTTTTATGTATACTTGGAAATTTTCTTCTTCTCCAAAAAATATTTATTTCAGTTCTGTAGGAAATAGCCATGATGGTGCAAATCTCAGAAGGGGCAATAGTAGCTTCAGGATGGCCTTTTGCTTTAGGGACAATTTAACCTGCCCCTGGAGGCAATGGAAGATAAAAGCACACCTCTCTAGCTCCATGACCGTAACTGAGAAAGTTGTTTGGATCAGAGGATTTTCTACACAGACAGACTAGCTGTGTCGCTCTCGGTTCCGGGGAGTCGTCCACCTACCGTTGGGGCTGTATCATATCTAAGAATTCAAGCAGATTTCAGAGGTCTGTCACCTCCAGCATTTCATAGGGACCTGTTTCCTGAGGGGCTGAACACAAATCTTAAAAAAGGCACCTTCAGTGGAAGGATGTAATTGACTCTCTCCTCATTCCTGATGGGCTTCAATTTTGTGCATTCTCTGTTCTCATAGGGAAACTTCACGTGGAAACTCCTGTTAACTTCTTCAGAAATGGTTTTCACATCTTAGTTTGACAAAAGCCTGCTGGCGCAGTAGTGACAAGCTATCCCTTCAGCTGGGCTGTTGGAACTCTTTGTGGGGTCAGTCAGTTGGTCAACTGCCTTGGAGCAAGGTTAAAAATAACCAGTAGAAGTTGCTTATACTTAACGCTGCTGGTGAAAAAGGTGTTTGTTAAACTGTTCTGACATTAACGTGACCATTGTTAAGATATCCCCCATCTACTTTTCTAGCGCCAAGCTTCTCGGATCAAAGGTAGCCAAAAGCTTAAAATAATACTTTGTTTATATTCCCCATCCCAAGTGCCTTTCCTCTGTCTTTGATGATGATGATGGTGTGGTTGGTTTGGTTTGGAACTTTTTGAAGACAGAGCGCGCTGGCTTTTTTTAGGTTGTGAGATTTCAGTGCAGGGTGTTTGTCTTCATGTGTGTTTATATAGTACCTAAAATAGTATGGCCGTGGTCCTAACTGGGGATGTATGGGTAATGCTTTGTTTAAGAACTTGAGTGCTCATTCCTTCCTCTGGAGTATTTCTTATAGTGGCAAGTTTCTCTAGTTTCAGTGTGGAATACGTTACCTTACAGTGTCAGATGTCCTTGAGTTAGCTTTTGTTGTTATTTTTATTTTTATGTTCATTAGTATGCTTTACCTGTCTCCGCTTTTTTTCTTTTCCTTCCTCTTTTTGAATTCTTAGGGTATCTCTGAAATCCATATTGAAAAGAAAGAACAAACTTTTAACATTTCCTTGATAAAATAAAATAATACAAAGCTCTACAGAGATGTATTTAAGCATTTTTTTCTCTATTGGGGTGGATTGTGTTATACTGTTGCAAGAGAACTTGAAATCAAAGTTCTTTAGTTTCTTGCACTGGAGAAAGCTTAATGAAGTGCACAATTTAAAAGAGATGCTGCACATATAGACAAGTATATAATTTTCTTTTCAATTTTAGCCTATTATTAAATTACCATTAACTGGCAAAACATAATTTTTGAAATGAGATTTAAGCTGCCAAAATTCTAAGGCTCAAATGAGAGAACCTTTGGGCAAAACTAATTAGCAAAACCTAAGCTGAGCTCAATAAAATCAACTTAGGCATTTGCAAATCCAGAACTGGAAAGAACCAGATGTTTGGTTTCTGCTTAGTCCCTCTGTTCTGCAAGTGTAACTGCATAAATATGGAATAGTAATAGGCTTATACATAAGGCTGTTGCTTGATTCAAAATGTCTTTGTAAAAGCATGGGGGCATTATTTTCCCCATTTTGCAGATGGACAGAAATGCAGAACTTCAGGTTTTGGGAAATAACGTAATGGGTTGGGGCTACGCAGCAGGGATACGGTAGCGTGTATCAATAGCACACAAGACAGGAGAAAACTGGGAAAGAGGATGTTGTTTAGGACTCCTGTGTTCCAGCTAGTCATGCTACTGGAGATACGTATAAATAAGAACATCTTTCTTTCTTTCTTTTTTTTTATTTTTTTAAAGAGAACATTGTTACACCTTTTTTATAAAAATGTTCTTCAGATTTCTTTTATGTAGTGCATGAATTATTATTTTTTTTAAAAGCATTAGCTTGTTTCTCTTCACATAGTTTGTATGAATTCAGATTTCTTTGAGACTTCCCAAAGAAAGGAAGCAGGATGTCTTTTCTCTAGATTTTTTTGTTGGCAGTACAATGTGACGCATTAAAATGAATGCTTGAGGCAGAGGTGGTAATAGGTTATGCTTGCTCACTGCTTGGACAGAAGCGTCCAAATCTAGAAATATTTTGGTTTATCCAATATTTCTAGATCATGCCTTGGAAGAGGTTAACATTGTATTTGTACGCTAAATGGGAATGGGGGTATTCAAAACTGTTGACACTTCGATTCAGCTTCTCAGAGAACATGGCTAGTATTTAGCAGCAGCAAGTAAAAGAGTTTTCTCAATACAAATGGAAAAAAAACTTGGTAATATGTGAAATATTCAATATTTGAGTGAAAAGTTTAACAATGAACTGCTTCTGTTAGATCAAGTAATATTAAAGTAGAATAAAGGCAGTTTTCAGTTTTTATGCTGTATTCAGATACAGCTTGTGTAACCAATTATGTCCCTTTTCAACTGAATATCACAAAACATAGTCTAGAATATTAACTGCAGCTCAAATTAAATTTCAAATTAAAAAGCTCCTCCCTAAATATCTGCTGTCTTGAACTTTCGAAACATGGCTAATGGGGGCACATCAATGTGTATTTTTTCTCCCATTAAAATCTATACAAGTAGATTGTACTTCTAACCATACACCATAACTGTTGAAAACATCCTTACTGACAGCTCCACAGCATATTAATGTTTTTTCCTGTAGATCGCCCTTTAATGATAGACCTTTTCCTTTCAAAGTGTAATTTTCCTCTTTCAAATGCTTTTTCCTTTGTTCTGAATGAGCACATCTCTTTTCTCCCCAGATCTGTTTAAGACAAGCCATCAGGAGTTTTATGGGGACATTACCGTACAGTATTAGGGTTTGCTGAGAGGTTAGCAACCTTTCAAGGGTGTTATGCTTTCAGAATGTAGAGATTGAGGATGGCAGCAGAAACTTGCTGATAATAGGGAGACGCTCTGAGTGGAGGTGTCTTGTTTTCTTACGCAGCAATCGTTCCTGGGTTCCAGTAAGTGAACTCAGCGAGAGCTGGGAGTTGGAGCCAGGGTGGAAAACAAATGCCTCTCTGAAGATGCCACGGCTTCCAGCTCCTTGCTTGGTGTTGGCCCTGCCTGCATGGCATTCAAAATCTGCACATGTGCTATCTTTGGATCCGGTGCCATAAATTGCGAACCCAATCTGTAGTAGTCCATCAAAACCAGATGGGATAAGTCATTTCTAACTTTGAGGATTCATGTAATTTTTGGTTTAAAAAAAAAAAAAAAAAAAGGATCTGGGAATACTAATTAGTTACTGTTTGTTCTCTTCTTCTTTGCCCGCTTTCTCCCCCACCCCCACACATAGCCTTTGGTTTTTATGGTTTTCTCTTTCTGTTTCTACATCTCTTTTCTGTGTTATCACCCATCTTGGCTTTTCTTATATTGGACAAGCCAGCAATTACAGAATAAGTCTTTCAGCCAGGAACAAGCTGCACAGTAGAAGCAGCAACCATCACAGCAGCTGACCCAGTACATTATGCACTTCTGCCTCACAGTTTATTACTTCTGTATTGTCAGTGACTCGCGGTCAAAGATGCCCCTTGAGCGAGTTCTCAATTAGAGACTATGGCATGATGTTTAGGAAGTTGTAGTCGGATGAAAATACTGATAATAACATTAATTTTGTATTTTGAAAATTTCTGATATAGAACATAAGGCCAAAACATTTGAAGTGATAGAAATGCATTACAGTCTGTTACATATATTGTTGTTCTTGGTGCATAGTCTCCTTGTTCTTCCATGGCAGTGACCATGTAGAACACTTCATATACCTGACTATTTTTCTTTGCTTTCTGTTGTGTTCATTTTGGATGAAATATTACTAAAATTTTAGATTAATAGATCAAGATAATATTGCCTCTATCTGTTAGGCTACACTCTACTTGAGTGACTTCTGGAGTAAAACCAGGATATTTACATACTTCTACAAAGAAAAATTCCTTAATGAACTACAGTTTTTGATACAAGTCCTTTTCACTATGTACCAATGTTCTTGCTCTTTTCTGCTCTCCTTTCCCCAAATAATTCACCTGAGATTTTTGAGTTGTCTGCTGTCTTGGCTTTGGTATGCTTAGAGAAGAGATGTTGGGCAGTCTTGAGCTGGGCTGAGCCATAGCCCAGCTCCCTGTCTTAGGATCCTCCTCCCCCAGGTGGGGTGAGTGCACGGGCAGCCTGGGCGCTTCTGGCTGCCTTAGGTGTGCTGTGCGTGCACTGGGCGGCTGTCCTCTGCCTTCACAGTTGCTCATGCTTTTCCTCAGAAATGCCTGATTCTACTGTGTACGTTCAATGCATTTGTTCTGTGCCGTTCCTGTGGGCAGTGCAGAAGGGGGTGAGGGACCCACCACCGCTCAGGGCTGTTGCTGCCACCCGGACATTTTGTATAGTTCACATTGTGCTATTATATTGGGACAGATAGGCCAAGAGTGCTGGATTGAGATGAGAAAGCTGTGGTAGCAGGCTGTCTACAGGCGGCAGTTTGTGTAACCCGTGCTAGTTCAGAGTCATTCAGCAGGCTCATCCATTCCAGCACAAACGTCAAGCTGTTCAGAATTATCAGTCTCAGCAGTCGGGGAAGTGCATTTTCCTGAGGTGTCTAATGACATCCTCAAATGAGCTGAGAAAAGATTGTGTGCTGGAGCTATGGAAGAAGTTTCAGTAATCTTGACTGTGTCCTAACATAGTTGGTAAGAGCTGTAACATATTTAACCGACAAGTTTAAATATTTTGTGTGTGTGTGTGTGTATGTACATATACATACACACTTAATTTCTGTTAAGTCTGGCAACATGGCTTCAAACACTAACCTCATATTTTCTAGCGTACAGGATGCAGACATTCCCCCTCCCCACCCACAGTTAACTTAAATGAGTCAGAGTGTAGTCACTTCTGCTTCTTGTCTCACTTAAGGGATTGATGTATACAATGGTGTTAATAGGCAATTTTCTACGACTATGTTTAATACTATCATTTTCCGTTCTCAGGATGTTATCTTCATGGTGAGCTGGTGGGAAAACTGAGTTGTAAATCACCCCAATGGATGCGGACAGCGATGTTGCATTGGACATTTTAATCACAAATGTAGTGTGTGTTTTTAGAACAAGATGTCATTTAAACTTGAGAAAGATTGCATTAGAGGGAGCAAATGTGATATACAAGCGTGATGTTGGGGTAAGAGATTCAACATACCTCAATTACCTGGTTTTTATGAATGATCCTTAAGCTAAACATTCTTGTGTCTGATACCTGTATGTGGCGGGTAGAGAAAAACGTAGTTTTATTTCTGTATTTCTGTCTTGATAGGTATTTAGTCTGTCATACACTATATGTGTGTAAGGGGAGGGGGTAAATACTGTCTTGGAAGACTGCAACTAGTGAGGTGAATATTGGGTATAAGGTATGTGATTAGACCTCTTACACCTCAGGGTAATAACATTGATGTTTTTGTCAAGAAAACATATCCTGTTAAGGAGTTATCAGTGTGGGAGTCACTGTAATAAGAAAAAAATTAGCACAATGCTTGTGGCTTTCAGCTTCTTATTCAGAGGAAAATACCTTCATTTAATCTGCTTTGTGAACACTGAATACTGAGATACTCCATGCTTATTCTGCTCTTCTTAGGAGCTGACTTTTTTTAATTACTGAAAGAGATGAAGGAACAGTTCAAGGCTGTCAAAAACAAAGGAAGTATTAATATAACAGTTGATTTGTCTAACAGTTAATTTGGGGTTTTTTCAGTATGAAATTGAACTACCACTAATTCCCAATTCTTTTACTTTTATCTTTCTTTTTAGAAAGTATTAATGAAGCTTAGGAAACCTAGGATTACGGCCACAATTTGGTCCTCAGGAAAAGTTATTTGCACAGGAGCCACAAGGTGAGTTCATGAAGATTCTTCCTCTAGCTGTAAAGTCTTGTGTATTTTAAAATATAATGTTGTAGATTAAGAAGATGGCAAGAAGCAATACTTGCCACTGTTAAGATTCACTCACGCTGGATCATGCGTAGAGCCTTGCCAAGCTATGTATTTGGGAGGAAGTTTTCTATGTGAAGTATCTGCCTCAGACTGAGTTGAAATATTAAGCAACGTCAGTTCAGCCTTCCAGGAGAGCAGCAGGGAAAACTACTTTACGAAGAAAATCCTAGAGATTTGATTTGAGAACTCTTTAAGGAGTCTGTGTTTTTAGCCAGAACTGGAAACTTGGGATGACCTTTTTTGAGGGATATCTCTTTCTATTTCACAAAAACCCGACCTGAATTTAATCAAGTTATACAGTGTTGAGGGACTAGAAAGAAGCAAAAGCAAACTCTCAGTTCAGATACATCTGAGACTCGCTAAACTCTTAACAGCTGAATTCCTTTAAGATAGGTCTGCATTGTAGAGTAAGGTTAAAGTACAATAGTAAATTTGTATATTTTCTCGTGGAATGGAAGGTGATTGTTCAGGATGTTAACTCCAGACTACCTGGTGATCGTATTTGTCTCTTAAGAGTATTTAGTGTCACGTATGATCAAAATACGTCTCCAACTTCAGCTGGAGCTAAGTGCCAAGATACTTTTCAAACAGGGCATAAAGAACTCTGTTCGAATATCTACATAGTTAAAATGTAATATGCACAGTAGGATAACATGAAGGCTGTCCATGTCATCATGGTTCAGGTGTTACATGATTTAATGGTTCATTTTGTAGTCTGAATAGGTGTTGGGGGGGGGGTGGTGTGTACACAAATGTATTCTCTATTTCTCTTAATGCTAGATTCTTTTCTTTCTTCTTTACAGTGAAGAAGAAGCTAAATTTGGTGCCAGACGATTAGCTCGTAGTCTACAGAAACTAGGTTTTCAGGTAATTCTAATGAAAAAGGACTTGTATGGCTCAAACAATGCTGGTAGTCAATTTTTTAGAAAGAGACAAAAACGAGGGAGCATAACTATTTAGCAGCAAGCATGTTTTCACTCGGATGCCCCTTTTGTGTCAGCGTACATTTTCCAGATGCTAGTTAAAGACAACCTGTTTTATTTAGTGGATTTGAGTTTCATTTGGCAGCTCAGAGTAGCACTTCTTCACTGACTAATGAGCAACAAAATTTTTTTAATAAATGAACCACCCACAGATGTTTCTTGGATAGAATTTACGGTATCTTGAAAGATTTACTTGGAAGAAGCGCTGAAGAGTATAAACTTAGCTGTCAATTGAACATAATTTTCCCTTTTTTCTGATGGGGTAGCAGATACATGTCCATCTTGCTAAGGGCAAGTTTGAGCCTTTTTAAGTGGGGGGAAAAAAGTTCTTGTGTTGTGTGGTTGCATAGCAGGAAAGAAGCCAAATAAACTACTTAGGATATGAAACCCCTCCTTTTTTCTGGGTTTGGGTTAACGTTACCAGTCAAAAACACCACTTGAGTTTCTTAGTAAAGGTTGAGAAACAGCAATGTGAATGACTTAAAATGACATGGTTTAGTACGCTTAAAACTTCCTTGTAGTCAGTTGCGCTGTTTACCCGCAGTTTCAGTTTACGGACATTCAATAGACACAGTGGCTGTCCTTTGGCAGGGAGAGGCTCCGCTTCATTGTAGTACATAAAGGCAGTGGTGACAGGCTATCCTGGTAATGCTGCATCAGACCCAAGTGGAAGTTAAACATTCTTACAGTTATGAATGCATGCGTTAGACCCAGCCTTGAAGTTGGAATGGAACATTAAATCAGTGAGGTAAACAGTGCTTCCAGGGTAGACACACCAAGTTTTATAATAAAGCGAGCAGTTTAAGTGGAATATATTTTGAAGATTAAATTGTTAGTTGACCTTTTATAGGGCTAAGTTGCTTCTACTGGTTGTATACTTCTAAAAAGCTTTGACTGAGGAACCTTCACTTGAAGTTCAGGCAATCTCAGAAAACGAACTAAAGTTTCTTCAGTGACATTGCCAACACCAAGTTCTCAGCAGTGCATTTGTTTGTTTAGGAATTGTCCATTGGCTATTTTATTGTCATCTAAAATGGCTGTGGTGAAGAAAGAACTGAAAGCCAGTAGTTTGAGCTGGGTTTCAGAAAGTAATGGAGTAGAAAAACAGCTTCCTGTACTGGCCACTGGAGACTTGAAACAAAACCATTTTCACTTTCTCTCTTATTCTTAGTTTTAATAAGAATGGTGTATAGCAACAAGGCATTAAAGAAGTTTTCAAAATGCATAAGATTCTTGTAACAATGAAATTTTAAGGTTTTTCTCTGCTTATTTTGATGTTCCATGAGCTGTTCGATTTGGTTTCTTTTCAGTTTGGATGTGTTTAGTACAGCAATATGAGTTCTTTCTGTGTCTCATTCTTAAACTGTACTATAACTGTATAATACAACTGTGAAGAATCTAGTTCAACAGTTACTGTACCACAGAAGGATAAAGGAAGTGATTGGAGTCCATTAAGTACTGTTTAGATTCCTCTTAGAAATGCATCAATCACAAGGTTCTAGTTCTGGAATCTCATCAAAATATTCTAATTAGTATTATTCTAACTTTTTTGCAACCCGTACATCTGCCTTGCTGCAAACTGAATTTCTAATGTCTTTTTTCCCCCTCTCTTTTGAAAAGGTAATTTTCACAGATTTTAAAGTTGTGAATGTTTTAGCAGTGTGCAACATGCCCTTTGAGATCAGATTGCCAGAATTTACGAAGAATAACAGACCTCATGCGAGGTACGGTAGGATTTTAAAGAATTATAGTCTTGGTGTATTTTTCAAGCTTTTCTTTTTCAGTTCTAGATCAATCTTTTTTTACCTTTTATTTTGTTTTCTAGTTATGAACCAGAACTTCATCCTGCCGTGTGTTACAGAATAAAAACTCTCAGAGCTACCTTACAGATTTTTTCCACAGGCAGTATCACAGTTACAGGTATTTTGATGTCAAAAAATAAATATTTAACTTGTTGGAAATATTTAACTTTAGGACCAGTAGGTTTAGGAAAGAAAGACGTTTAAAACAGTCAAAAGATATGTTGAAGGTATTTTGTTTCCCAGTGCTAGCACCTAGCTTGTTTTTGAGTGAAAGTGCCAGAAGAGTTGTAGAGAAAGTGTTATTATTGGTAGGCTCAAAGGTTACTTTCATTGAATGTATGTAGTCTGGTTTTTATAAAAACAAAAATGAGATAGGACTTGAGAATGCAGATATTTATTGTTTATGTAAATATTTGAATTTTCTTCCTTCTTTTCATCTTCACAGTGCTGTAAACTGCACTGCATGTATTATTAACGTCCCTTTCATAAATACACGTTTCCAAACAGGGGATTTATGGAAACTACAGGATAGCATAGCATCTTGTCATAACTGAAGTTGACCAATATTTGCAGTTCTTCAGACTTGCGCTGTCTTTGTTAAAGCTCAACTGAGAGAGAACCACCACCTGTATCACAGGCATCAGTGATTGTTCCCATCCGATCAGAGGCGTGATTGTCCTGGGTCTTGGAGATGCCATGCCATGTTTTTTCCTCTCTCTTCCTAGTTTTCAATTTCCATTATGTTTGCGTGTGAGGTGTCCACCGCAGGTTTCCAGATATGAGAAGTCACATTTTTTAGAGAATACCTGTTAAAATGGTACAGAACCAAACCCCATCACTTCTATGTCGCTTTATATCACTTTAGCGGGAATTCTGTCTTGTGGGTGTTAGAGCTCAGCTGCTGGTATCAGAAGTTGGATAGGGATTTTTATTTTCGCATCTTAATTCCTTAACAAATGCCTAGGCTTTATGGGGAACGTTTCTCACAAGATATCAGAAATGTTTTTTAGAGAAGATAAACTCCATCAGATTTGGTAATCTGAAAATGTAGGGCTAAAAAGTATTTCAAAGATTGCAGTATATGTTCTGAACAGAGCAGGTGGTCTAGCCAAAACTAGAGACTAAATTTAAAATAACTAAGAAGCTTGAGTATCACTGCAGTCATAAAAGGCTCTCAGTGTCTTCTCAGCCTCCTAATGAGATCTAGCCTTGCTGTAAGATTATTATTGCTCCATATATGGGACAAAATCACTTTCATATTTCCAGAATTGTCCTTTCAAATATGAAATCAAATATAGTAAACATCAAAGTTTTACTTCCTCCTGGTTTACTTGTTACAGTGAGTTTGATCTATCTCAGACCTCTGTTGGTTTTGAAGGCTTCTGTTCTGCCTAGGCCTTTCTTCTAGGGGGAAAAAAAATGTCCACAGTTTTATGCTTCTTGTTCTAAAAAATGTTTTAAATTACTTTTCAACCTTACTGTACTCCTTCTCAAGTGCGTTCAGATGAGGTTCCTTTTGACTATTCATGTTTCTGTAGTACTAGTACTTGTCACACCACTAACTCAAGAATTTTATTTGAGATACATAATTAGAAATGTTATAAAACAACCAGAAAGGTGGGGTTGTTTTTAGTGGGACAAGCATAAAAAGATTTAGGTTACACTGAGAAAAGAAAATAAAAAGAACTGATATCTAATAGGAAGAAGTATTAATTTTTCTTCCTCCAAAATGAACGAGGGGATTGGTTTTGGTGGTTTTTTTGTTTGGGGTTTTTTCTTTTCCTCTCTTATTCTTCCCACAATCACGATCCAGCTTTTATGTCTCTTCAACCCTACGGGAGTAGCGTTTTTTACAAGAATTATTTGCCTACTCATACTGTTGCTTTCTGAAGGGTTTCTCTAGAACTTGCATTTCTATAATAGCAGACAAATTTAAAGAAGGTGTGCAGTATCTGCCCAGAAGGCAGATCTTTCACCAGCTTGTTTTAGGTGAGTGCTTAACTCAACTCGACAAGTTTGAAAATACAGGAAGGATCCTATTCCATTCCATTTTCTTTCTGACTGAGCATGTAAATTAAAACAGTATGTCCGCAATTACTTAAATAAGTAATTTGTAACTTAGTTAAATAAGTTATTTATGATTTTGGGGAATGATTTTGAACAGTTCTCTATACTTGGAAAAAACTTCTGCAGTTTAAAGTGAGGTAAAAAACCCTGAGTTCACAGGCATCAAAGCATGTGAGAAATTGCTGTTTTCATTTATCTGCATCACCAAACTTCTATCCAGGATTAATTTCTTCTGGCATGTTACTGTTCTCGTATTTGCAGTCTTAGTTGTTCATTGCATAAAATGGTCTAGTACCATTAGAAAGCATCACTAGTTCATTCTTCCTTTTCCTTCCCCAAATGCTCATAGATCGTGTTAGATAAACTTCAGATGCTTCATCCTGAGACAGTAACTATTCCCCGTCTTGCTGGTTTTTGTCCTGAGATCAATGGTGGAGCTATCTGCAAAACCCAGACTAGAAAGTAATAGTCTGTAATTTTCAAACATAAAATAATCTTACTTGAAGCATGCTTGGGTTAAATCCAGCATTGTTTAGCAGTAGTTTTTTGTTGGTAGGTTTTTAAAAGAAGAGATAAAAGTTGCTAGGCTTTGAGTAATACAAATTCCTAGAAGATGAGCGTGAGTAGAAGTACTTCTTCTACCTCTGCCACTCAGCCTCTGCCGCATTCTCTGGGCTGACTTTTTAAGCCAGTAAATAGAAACAGCACACAAGTTGAAATGAAGTTAAATGACAGTATTATTTGTTTTAGTCTATTTTAGACCAGTATTTATTTTAGTCTATTTTAGACCAGTGTAACACATCTTGCAGATTTCATGTGAGAGTCTTTTCTCATAAGTAAAAGCGATCAAAGGAACACCTTCTTAAGTTGGGAGAAATGAGGGAGTAATTATTTTTGTCTACAGGATAAAGTTGTGATAGTTAAAAATATTACGGTTATTTTAAAGATACTATTGTTGTTTTAATATCTGTTTCCCTGATTTTTCTCTTCCTACTGCTTTTTTTTGTTCTTAATATGTCTCAGGGCCAAACGTAAAGGCTGTTGCCAGTGCTGTGGAACAGATTTACCCATTCGTGTTTGAAAGCAGGAAATAAATTTTATAATTCACCACTTGATGGTTAGGTTCCCTAACCGAGCACCTTTAAAGACTGCTGCACATTGGACTAAAAGCAAAAAGGAAAACTGGACCAACCATAGCAGAGGAATACAGACTCTTTTACTTGCTCATGGCCACGGTATAAACTCCAGTTCTTTTGGATTTTACTCTTAACAGTGCTGTATTGTAAAAACGGAAGTTTACAAGATATGAAATTGCTGCTTTTAAAAAGACATTCTATTTATTTTTGCAGTAATTTCTGTGTATTCATAAGCAAAGCTGTCACGATGTGCACTACCTTTAAAACATTTTTTTTTTTTTTTTTTTTTTTTAGTTTGAGCTTGTGTTTTATTTGTGAATAGTCTTTTACATTTTTGTATGCTGAGTATTGGGCACCAAAGAAGCTGTAAAAGTTATCTTTTTCACCTTATGAATGTGCACAAATAAAAGTTTGGAAAATATTTCTCTTCATACCTGTTCTGTTATATTCCTTTCCCTTTTTCTATTACAGTTAAAATTGTATAGTTGCAAATTAATTTGAAACAATGTAAGAATAGTCTTTTGCTGATACCTTCTGTTTCTATTTGTAGTATGTGTAAAACTTTGTGCGTGGGTTAGATTGAAATCTATAGTAGTTGCGTATGTTTATCCGAGGATGAAATTTGGTTTGTTCCCAGTTCTCTTAACTACATGCCAGACTTCCAGTATTTTCTTGCTGTTACATGAAGAGAAGACATTTCTAAATATAAAGGTCTACAGCAAGCGTTTTCCTATAGATGATGAGGAAATCTTATCAGCTAAAGAAGCTACTGTAGAAAAACCAGCTGCCTTGTCCACCTACTGGATGCAAAAGGAGCGAAGTTACTATGTGAGCTTCGGTTTTCAGGAAAGTGGTGTTGTGCTTCAACGCAAGAAGATGGTATGGTCACACTAATCCATCCCCAGCTTATTGCTGAACAATTAACACAGACCTTTTCTACACTCTTCTTACTGTACAATACTTCCATGACAGGAGCTGCCAACAAGCAACAAAGCTTGATTCTGGCATGTATTATTATTGGTATTAATCTTGGACTTGGAAGCCAGTAGATGTTTCTCTCAATAAGTGCACATTTGAAGCAGGAGAGAGGTGAATGCTTAAAAGTAACTGCAAATGCTACTTTTAAAAAGATACAATAAATATGTATAAATGTATGTATGTCTTTTTTCCCTATCTCACTGAAGAGAAATGTAACGCTGCTGTTGTGTGCTGCAGGTAACATACAGTCTTGGTGGGTGCTAGAAATAGCAAACCATGGGTTGTTACCGTGCCAGAAGTCATGGTTGCGAAAGAAGGGTGGAGGAATGTCCTAAGGAAGCAAATGCCTGGCATAGTGTCTTTAGTCTGTCTGAGGGGATGCTATAGAAGTTGGGGCTGTCTGTAGTGACTTCGTGCAGAAATTATGGAAAGGAAGGAGTAATGTGGGAAATGCTCAGCCAAACCCTTCAGAACCAAAAGAAAGGAGCAACCATTTGCCACAAGCCTTAAGTGATGTATTCATAAAAATGCTCTTAAGCTCAGTGTAGGTAGGAAAGAGAGGACTTACAACCTACAAATTACTAAGTTGAGTTCAACGGTCATGGAATCCATGTTTTTTACTTTGTACAGAAGATAACGTGGACCTCGGCACGCCTGACACAAATGAGGATTTCGTGAAAAGTCAGAGAGGAATGGACAAACCCCCATTAGGGAACACTAGTGTATTATTAGTACAGTTTCAAAAAGAAAAAGCAGACGGCATTTGAACCATGAACAAAATTGTAATGGGTTTTCCAGGAACAAAGTGTAGTCCTAAACTGATGAATGAGGATTTGGCCATTGTAACTACACTAGCTGACTTGGATCAGGCTTGCCTCTTTTTCTTTTGGATCAAATTACAAAGTACTTGAGTGCTACCAGTGACCTTCTGGAGCTTTTATCAAGCATATGCCTCTCCTAAATTTATCTATGGAGAAAGACGAACGTCGTGCTTTTTTGTTAGCACTGTCACGTAGCATGAAATCTGCCTGTTAGAACAAAAATGAAAGGTAATTATAAGCTGCGATGTATTAAAATGGGAACTTTTTCTTTTGAAGTGCTGCTTAGATCCATGCTCCCAGTTTGAGGCCTTCATAACAACCCACAAGGGAGGCAAAAAGCACACCGGTGAACTTGCAGGGTAGGGTCATGCATTTACTCGGCCTGTGCGTCATAATAAGCCCCCCATGCTTTCTTCAGCTCGTTCTTGGTGTAATCCTCATGCAGGTCTTTGTGGTCACTGGTCACAAATTCTTTGGCAAAGTTCTGTGCTACTTCTCTTTGATCAGAGTCTTGTCGGTCCCAGTTTTGGCTCTCTGCAGGCCACTGACATCCTCTCCAATCCAAGTGATGAGGGCAAGCTTGAGTCGCCCGCTCACGGCATTGCCAGTGGTGAATTGGAGAAAGCCAAACAATCAAACATCATCTGTGCCCTTCCTTTTAAAGGTTTCGTAGTCTGTGCCTCAGTCTTCAGGGATGATGGTAGAGCCATTGTATTTAAAAGTCACCCAGTTCACCTTGGTGGCATTGTCCCTGACGAGGTTGTACACCTCCCTGCACACCTCTTTGTCAATTTTGGTGGCCACAGGGGTGGCCGTGCCAGGGAAGGAGGGAGCAGGGGGGGGGGGCCCCCCCACGGCTGCTGCTGCTGCTGCAGCACTGCAGCACACCACGCAGCAGACTTGAGAATGAGAATAAGAGCAAATAAAAAATTCTTTGAAGCATGTGCTCACCTACCCTAGCTCCAAGGGAGCTTCAAGCTCTTTGTGATAAACACGCTTTAAAACCTCTGATGATGAAGGGCATTGGGCAGTGTACGCTCATACTCGGGGATATCCCTCCATCCCGTCACTGCTGTAAATGAGCAGGTCCCCACCTCAGTCTGGAATAAGCCTTGCAGCTGCTTATTTCTACATGCAGACATATACAGCCCCCATCCCAATCCTCATGAGCCAGGCTTTGTTGCCTTTGCCATGTTGTGCTGCCTCCCCCTCGGCTCTTGCTACCCGCTCCTGCAGTCGTGACATGGACCCTAGGCCCTACAGCACGATGCCCCCAGCGCGCTAGCTCTCGCCTCCAGTGCAAGGAGCGGTGCACTGGATTAAGCGTACCCGTCAATCAATCAGCTCTTCCTCAATGGCCACGTTTTCTAGAGTGCTGTCTGTCTGTCCCTGGTTCTCTGGGTGAGTCCCATGCAGGACTCCGCACAGTGCTCAGCTGTGGCACTAGCCGCACCATAACAAGTTTTTTTGACATTTCTTAGAGAGAAGGGTTGGTTCTATTTATACAACCTACTGAGGGCTCCTCTCTGCAGCAGAACGGTAACTCTGACTCATCGCTCGCTGGTGAGTTGTCATAGCCACTAGATCTTTTCCTGCAGTTTGTAGCTCCACTTTATCATTCTCTGGCTTGCAATTAGTGTTACCAGAGAAGTTTGCACTTACGCTTTCAGATTTGTATTCTGCTTTTTTCAGACCCTTCTCATGGATTTGCAAAGCTTTGAATTCCAACCCCGTCTCTCCCAGTTTAGTATTGCCTGCAAATTTAATAAGCATATTCTGTTCTGTAATCCAGTCCATTAATGAAGATATTGAATAATTTTAGATTTGGGACAAATTTTTTTGTGGCGTGCTTCAGAGATCCAAGGATGTGATTTGTAAGACATGCTCCTTTTTTCCCTTGTATTTTAATAGTTGATGAGGTTGTGACTGCAAGTTCTGTGTCATCAGACATGCAGGCTCTGTTATAAAAGACCAGTACAATTAGGGCTAGATTTATAGGGCTTATACAGGGCTAAGTATGTAGGACTACAATTAAGATGAGAGCTATAATGATGTAAAAAGCCTGCGACTACAGCATCATCACCTTTTGGAGGTATCTGAAGCTATTAGGGTCTCTGCAGTTAAACCAGTGTTGGAACTGCACCTTCGTCAGAAAGACGGTATTTTTACTTACTTGTTCTTGCACTAAATAGGTGCGCACAGGGAAAGTTTAGAAGAGCTCGCAATGAACCCAAAACCTGTAAGGTGGGGAGATAATTTCTGTGGTATTTTCTGAGTTAAATTTATTTCTGTAAGAACACTCACAAAATTTATTACAGCAGAGGTTTGTTTGGGAAGCTGCGATGCTGAGAAGGATTTTGCAGAAGTCCCTTTCACTAAATGTAATGTAATAGAAATTGTAAGCTGGTATGGGCTTGGATTGCATGTGCAAAGGTCTGCTGTCAAGAGGCAACTGTCAGAAACTATCTGGTACCAACCAGAGCAAGTGGGGATGCTACTGGAAATGCAGGTAATCCACTACCTGGTAAAGTCACAGATTAGGCAACAGATGAATTTCCTGCAATACAGTCTTACTGAAAATACATTATGTTACTTGATTTAATCTCAGGCCCTTGTTAGTATGAAAATGATAAACTAACAGCGTATTTGGAAGACTCCCCAGAGTCACCTTAGTATTTCTTGTTCTGAGGCTGATTTAGTAGAACACGTGATAGTGATGACTGCTCTGAAGCCTGAACACGAAGCAGGTGGAGAGACTGCAGTAGGCATCATTGCTGAAAAACTGAGGAAGGTCCTAACATGCAGAAACCCAGCAAGTGGTGGGCTCAGACTCTGTTTTTTGACACGATCATTTTGCAAGCATTCAGAACTGATAGTGGAATTTGTAGTTTTTATAAAAAGAAAGTATCACTATTGAGCTAAGAAAAAAGCCTTACGGTATTAGCAGGTCCAGTGTGCAGCCCTTTGCTGGCACTTGAGAAGTTCTTCTAGATCTTTTGCTTTCCTTCAACAAATGCTTGCCAGGCTTCCAGGCTTGACACATACTCATTAGGCAACACGTGGCACCAACCACATTTCCCATATTTTATTTTTCTTTCCATTTCAGTAATAGAATGTGTTCTTTTCTCCAGCAAGAAGGCATTGATATTTTTCAAAACTACTCTTTGCTTGAGCATACTATCGTTAAAAAAAATATATTAAATTCAGGCTGTGAATCACAAAGCAAGCTGATCCCCAAAGTGCAAAAATAAGGATACTGAACTGAGCATTCCAAATAATAAAAAACCAAACCAAACCAAAACAAAACAAAAAACCTGCACCTAATCTTGTAGATTTTGGCCATGTTCTGGTTCTGGAATTCCTCACACCTCCAAGTTAAGTGTGAAAATTGAAGGTAAAAAAATTCAACCATCTATGCATGAAACACCTACGTTTAAAAACTTCAGCTGCCCCTTTCCCCCCACCGCCAGAGTCAATCTCTGACTTTACCTCCCCTTGCATTTCGTGTGACATCCTCAGCCATGGCTTCTCTCCCACTGCTCCAAACCCACCTCTCCAGCTCTCCCCATTTCACACTGAAACTTTTCATGGCTGAGCTCTAGTGCATTTTGCATCCTTTTTCTGAGTGTTTGTAGAAGTTATTGGAATACTCTACCTTTGCCAATTCCTGCAACTGTTGCTGCCACAGTCAGGGGAGCACAGGAGGCTTTGCTGTGGGATCTCCCCCATGCAGGGGCAAATGAAACCTCCCAGCCTCTTGTGGTCAATATTGGAACTGTAGACCTCAAACAAAATTCTAAGCAGGTCTTCATTTTTCACTGGAAAATTCAAAGTAGTAGAAACCAAAGTTTTTCATGTCTGTGGACAATACAGAAGCACCTGAGATCCAGGGTGGAATTTAGCTTGGGATGGGAACCTGCTGATTCCTTGTAGGGAATGAGAGCAAAAGGCTTTCGAGCTTACTGCTTCTGATGGGGCCTTCGGTCTGAGTCCCCTGCATCTCAGGTGCACAGCCCCACTGTCTGTCCACATGTCCTGGGTGTGCTTGGTCTCTCATTGCTTATGGACTACATCAAAAGGGCTCACATTGACCCTTATGAGAAGATTCTACTTAATCTTTGGTACATTGCATATGGCAAAAACTGCACCTTGCTGAGCCTTCTGCATACTATCATAAGCATCCCTGAAAGCAGCCCAGTCTCATGGCACCCGTGAGGTTATTGTGAGGACTGATGGTTCTAGGATCAGGACAGAAAATATAAGGGAGCCATAGGCTGACCAGCTAGCCAGTGGCCTAGCAATTCAGAGTTCCACTTGTTTTAAATGACGTGGGATCTGCATAGTTAAAAGTCCTGCACTGCGATAACGACTTACCTGACCTTTGTACCAAAAGTCCAACAGGGGTTTGATATTGGTTCCCTGAAAGCTTACGATGCAGGAAAGTTGTGGTACAGATTTGGCCAGCAGGTTCCCATCCTGAGGTAGCTAAATCTCTGGCAAATCATGTCCTTGGCTTCAATAGTTTCTCTTCAGGTTCTGAACACACGTTCACTGTCAGAATAGACGTGCTCCTATAAATTTACAATGTCAGTAGCTAGAAGTGTGACCACGTGAGAATCTGATCAGAATGGATCTGCTCCGCTTGGAGGTGAAACGTTGCCTAGATCAGTAAGTTACTGTTCCTTCCATGCAGGACACAGTCAGGTGGTTTTACTGCTATGAGACGGCAAATAAAGTAGGATCATGTGCTTAGTTCAAAGTAGTATCTGCACTCCAGCTGACAGTGTCAGTCTTGCTTCCTCAATTAAATGCTGGAAGAAATGCCGCCATGTGGCTGCTTTTAAAGCATGCTTTTTTCTTTAAACAAAGAACCATTTATTTATCTGCTAATAAATATTTATCTACTGATCATTCCAACAAAATCTATTAACTTTCTAAGAAAAAAAGACCTACGTTCTTTTATGGGAGCCATATAGATAACGCTTTATAGAGGCTTGCTGAGTACTCCAGGATACACTTGCTAAGCAATAACCAAGAAATTGACATAATTATTAATTTGCAGTGATTGCGGCTTCTGAACTCCCTTTGTGCTGCCCTGTACCACACAATTCTCGCTTTCTGAATCCAAAAGTCAAAGTCCAGTGTGCCCTGTGTTGAGAAATAAAATTATTTTGGCACCAACTCTGATACCTCCACCTTCCAACTTTCCTGGGACTTGGAAGCTAAAGAAATCCTATCTCCTCTTCTGTAAGGCCATGCTCAGTCTACAGTAATTCATTACGCAAATGTCCCCCCATTAAACAGTTTGACTGTGTTTTCTGAGGAGCAGTTCCTAGGTCACTGAATCCTGGCCTTCCCAGGAAACTGTGTGTAAAGTTTCTCTTATAAACTGAGCATGCTCTGTGTTATAAATAATTAAGTTCTGATGAATAAGATCCTTTTTCAAGTCTTGTTAAGCAGAAGCCTAAATTAAAATTTGTAAACAGTTCATAGCCAGTTGTTCTGCACTAACATCATCCTTCACACCCCACAGTTGTCCATTTTTGCTCCATAGCATTGTCTTCCCTAGCGTACTGACAGAGTTGTTAACCCCTTTCAGCCCCTTTTTTGCTAGGCTAAACAGACCTGTGTTTGGTGGGCTCCTCCTGTGAGACTCTTCCTTCCCCTCGGCACCCTGGTCGTTCTTTGCACCGCTTCCAGGCTGAACTCTCCTTGAGTATGGATAACTAGAATTGTGCGCAGTATTCCAATTTCCATTCACCTCCTGTACATAAGAGGTGAGTAACCTCAGGGGAGGTGAGGGATGGTGATTTGAAACAGGCAGAGCCTAGATTTCCAGCAAGTTATAAACTGCAACAATCTTTAATGTTGGCTGTAAACTGCCGCTGAAAGAAGGTCTACGAAGAAATGAAAGAGAGAGTATCTTGTGTATAATAAAGATACCATGTGCCCCATCGGAGTGTGAGCATCACTGAACTTTTTTTTTTTGTTTTTTTAATCAGTCTTTTGGTGAAGGCTGCTTTGACTGCCCCGGGTCTAGTAGAGCTGCTCTTTCTCTTTCTTGGCAAGTTCCACTGGCACCAGTTTCTCTCTGCGCTGGGTCATCCAGCACAAGGGGGTCTTCACATATTTCCTGGAGAGGCAAAAAACCCCACAAAGGTTTGCCATTGAATCCAGCTGGCAGAGTGCTCTCCCTGCTACATACTCCTTCCCTGCTCCAGTTTCCCCCCTCGGCTCTGGCTCCAGCTCCTGCGTGGATTTATGTCTTTCTTTAACGAGGAGGGAGGAGAGGGCCCTCGGGGAAAGGCAGTGCAGGCTGGGCCAGAAACGTTGATTTCTCAGTCTGTGAAGCAGTGATGGCTGTGAGGGAGGGCCCAGGGGCTCCGGCACCACAATTACCTTGGGGCTTTCTGCACTGGGATAATTGCTCTTTCCTAGACCCTAAATGGAATCCTTCAAGCCTGGCTGAGTTGCAGCGTACCCTTGAGTAAAAATATTCTCTTGGGAATCTAAAAAACCCAAATACAGGATGACCCATCGCACTAGGCTGTTCACATGTTAACTACCTCCACTGTCAAAAAGCATGTGTCTTATTTTCAGTTTGAATATTTCTACCTGTGCCTTCAAGCCTCTTTCTCTGGGTGCCATTTGCCCTGTGGGGAGGCAGCAGCCTGGCAGCAGTGGCAGGGAGAGCGTGAAGGAGTCCCTGTTGCCCCGTCAAGCACAGGGGTGCGGGCGCAGCCAGGGTTGCCACCTCTCCTGCAGCAGCATGGCCCCAGCTGTGGTGGGGCCTGGCTCTCACCCCAAACCATCGGCCCTGCAAAAATTTTGTCCACTAGATTTTTTACCCTATCGTTTCTTTATCCTTTTATTCATCATGCTGATGACTTCTGAGATGAGTCTGAAAAAGCAAGTAGCTGCTGTAGAGCAGCTCTTTGAACAGATCAGGAGAGTGCTGGATTTTAAAAACTGCTAGTTTTTTCTATAATGTTTTACATCCAAAAAACAACTGAAAAGAAGGGGGGCAGTTGTGAACTGATTGTAAAAATTGCCAGTTAATTTGTGGTCAATGACACCTGCATTTGGAGATTGTAAGTAAATAGCATGTGTGTCAGCAGACCGTTTAATTCTGTTCTCCAAATTGATGTGCTACTCTTGTTGAACCTATGTAGTTCCAAGGGCCACCCTACTTCTCAGGGACGAGAAAAGACAGGTAGAGTCAAAAGACACAAAACCAGTCAGAATGGGGCATGTTAGAGGAGCAGGCACATGGCATTCACATCACCAAATCACTCTCTCCCTCTCATTGATCTTCTACCCTTTTTATGTGATGAGGTGGGGACACAAAACTCATGCTGGAAGAACCTTGTTTGGGTATGAGCTCATAGAGTCTACAGAGCCATGGGACTCAATAAACGCACAAAAAAAAATGCCCGTCTAGAAGAGCTATCAAAGCTCACATGGAGCCTTGAAGTATTTGAGATAGGGCCTCTCTCCTTTGCTTTTTCTGCATGCAAGCCAAGACACACAGCCCTAAATGTGAGAACACAGTTGCCCTCCTCTCCAGGAATGGCAATCAGCAAAAGTGCTGGGGAGCCAGGTCAGGCTGCAGGCATCTTCACAGGGCTGCTGGAAACCACCATCCCAGTAGGGCCACTCCTTCAGCATCAACACAATGCTTGCTGAGATGAACATGCACAAGCTCTTGTGCTTGAGAGAATCTGAACTTTTGAGAAAAAAAACCAATGCAGTTTCCTTTTTCTTTAGCATGCAGTATTGAAAGGCTTGGTCCCTCTGGCACCCGGGGGATGTGGTCACACGCTCCGCTCCATACTTACTGTTTAGCTAGTTCCATGGATATTTGCTCCAAAGAGCATCCTTTTGTCTCTGGTATAAACACAATAACAAAAGCCAGGGATGCTAGGCTCATTATTGTGTAAATGAAGCACACCCAGGACAAGCCAATGAGCTCTACAAAGAAAGAAAACATGTCCTTTTTAACTTTCAAATATTACAATTGCCATAGTATTTTTATAGGATACACCCCTAATGCACAGGAGGAGTTAGAAAGAAGCCGAGCTGTTATCCTTAGCTCACTCATTTGTGTCTGGCCATAATTTGAAAGAGAAGAGTGGGTTTGCTTTTTCTAATACTCTTTATGAAAGAAAATTGATGAGCCCATACTGACCCATTTAGCACAAACATATTGATTTATTTTGCTTGCAGTCACTTGGGATGGAAACTGTGAGTAGCCATTCTTACTGGTTTGTGCAAAGGCACCAGAAGTCACAAGCGCCTCAGATTTCTACCCATCTCTGGTTCTGTTGCACATTCTTTCATGGAGTAAAACAAAGCATTTTTTCACATTGTTGCAGTTCTCTCCAGCTAATCCTCCCCGCCTGTCAGTTCCCAGCACTTCCACTGCAAGTGACGAGTCCTGCGCCAGAAGGGGATCTAAGAGTGAACCCCTAATGGGGCCAGCCAAGCACTAGTGGTTTTCTGTGCCCACAGTCCAGGAGCAGGTAGGTCCCCAGGCTGAGGAACGCACCCTGCAGCCCCTGGCAAGTAAAGCATATACAAACCCAACAGGCTGTTGCAGCCCCCTTAGCCCTTTTCCCTGCTGAAACTAAGTCAGAGGATTGAGACATTTGTCAGTTGTGTTGTGAGCTAAAAATTGCAGCTGAAGCTGCTAATCCAGCCGGTATCTTCTGCATCAGATATGCAAGTGCAGGTGCTGCTGGCCACCATGACCTCCGCATTTGAAGACAGAATTTCCAATGCTGCCTTTCTGCCATAACTAGGAACACGCATTTGCTTGTAGTTACACTTTCATAAATCCAGGTTAGACTCAGCTAAGCCAATAGAGTTATTGTGTCTTTGCATTCATTGAAACTGAGACCAGAATCTTTTTTTTCAGGTGAAACGGTGGATGCTGAGCACCTGAAGTCTGCACTATCTGCTTTCAGTGAGATTTCCTTAGAAATAGCTCTAGTCTGGTCCAAGGACTGAGCAAGTCTTGGCAACTGGAGTACATTTGCTGTGCATTTGCTGGTCTGGCTTTGTCCAAAAGCTTGTGCAGTCCAGGGCTGCCCTGTGGTGCAAACCAAGGTGCAGCGAGTGGAGGCAACTGGATGATTCGCTTCTGAAGAGGACCCTTGATCTAACTAAAGTGCTACTGTGGGCACAATGAGTTTGGACTGGCACATTTTTCCTAGTTTTACTCAAGATAGTACTCAGGGGGTTTCATCTCTTTTTTTTTTTTTTTTTAAGAAAAGAAAACACCGATGTGAAGCCCATTTTAGTCACAGATCACACTCATCTTCAAATCCATCTCAAAATCCATCTAACAGGATGAAAACCACCTCAACTTTTTGTGGGTTGATTGCTTGCCTCCAGTGGAGAGTAATGTGGAGTTAAAGGAAACCTGGAATTTCTGTTCCCTTATATATCTTGATTTTCAGGGCATATTTTCATCAAAATAAGACTGAAAATAAAATTTGAAAAACTTCTTGTGGAATAAAATTAGAAAAAAAAATATTTGCCAATCAATGAATTTCAACATCAGCATTTAACATTTTCCCTGGTTTATCATCACGTTATAAGTTACTATATGGTAGTCTACTTTCTCACATTAAAACATGAAACATTTTTACCTTACAAAGACACCTTTTTCTAAAGGAAGTTTTCTTGAAGCCAGGACATTCCTGTGAAAAGGAATGATTTCAGTGGGATTGTCTTTAAAAATGTTTGATCTAAAAATCTGCAGTCTGATCTAGAGGAGACGTTCCCTTGACTTCAGAAGATGCAGGACTAAATCCTAACTATGTTGTATTTTCAACCTACTAAGGCAATAGTGTTTTTAAGAGCTGGGGTTCACAACCTATGGAGCTGATGTGCAAGGTGCTCTGATCGCCAGCACCGTGAGGCTGTAATTACTAACACAAACTTAGAGAGATGTGGTGGAAACGGTGAAGTTACACTAACAAAGAGCACTTAAACAGAGACCTGAGTTTGGCTCCTGGAGCATCACAGCTGTAATTTTAGCAATGTTGTTTGTATAGGAAAGATTCATTTTGCCCACTGGGAGAATATCAACTTGGAAGGACATAGAGGAGTCTTACCAGTTACAGTCAAAAATGTCAAGGAGATGAGGAGATTTATACCCCAGTTCATGCTAGATGTCAAAGCCATGGCCCGTCCTCTGATTCCACCAGGGAAAATTTCACTCAGAACCAGCCAGGACACTGAAAAAGAAGAAAAAAAAAGAAAAGAACTTGTCTTCGAAAGGATGGCTTTACTTGTTGTAAATTTAAGTTGTTCGTGAATTCAGGTGAGGCCACCTGAAAGAATATGGTGATTTTTGGAGATGTTAGGTTTGTGTGGCCCCAAGCCCCAGAGGACCACCCATGATCTGCCAGCAGCGTGGGCAGTGGGCAGCACCACCCCAGGGCACCATCCCTACCTGGTGCCCTGCAAGGCAGCAGCCGGTGGCACCGACTGGCAGCGATGGCACACACGGGACCAGGGAAGTGAGCTCTGACTGCACGTCTGTGTATGAAACGGAGCGCTGGCTAAGTAACTCTCAAGTGATGTAACACTAATGGAAGTGGGGCAGCAAACTAAAGTAATCTTCAGTCTCAGAGCGGCACTGTGTTTTTATGCCACCTTATAAATCAACCTGCCACACTGAATCAGGTTTGCTATTCCAGCTCTCCACTCCATATAAATGAGATTGCTGAGGTATAAATGAGGAAACAACACCTGATTTTTGGCCTCTTATCACACCACACCATACCACAGGTGATCTAAACGCTGGCGTTGCAAACCCACAAAAACAAATTCAGACACAAAAAGCTGGCTGTGTAACCACCTTGGTGGCAAGAGCAAAAAAAAAAAAAAGACAAAAAAAAAAAGACACCACATTTCTGCACCATTCCTGGTTATTAGGAAACAAAAAAAACTCCCCCAAAAAACCCTCCTCCCTCCTTTTGTTCATAAGCAAGATGCGTTAGCAAGAGGTTGCTGTGTGGAGAGGTTGTGGGTTAGCAGATGACCGGCACAAGAGCAGAGGGATATACATGGATGAACTGTGTCTTCAGACCCTGGGACATGGCCATTATAAATTGTTCCTCTGTGATGTTGTTTCTGCAAAATGACAGATGGGAGTTTCCTCAGGACACTTGCACTGGGCAGCCTTAAATTTACATTTTAAAAATAGGTTCCTGTATGTGCAAGTGTGTGTCACGCTGCAACACCACTTCAGATTCTTGCAGGATTCCTGTGTGACAGTACTGGCAAAGGTAGAAAAGAAAAAAGTGCTGTGGAAGGAAACTGGAAAGGACCAACTGAAAGAGGAAAATAAAAGCCCTGAGCTTTGAGTCAACAAGGCAGATTTGAGGAAACCCTAGATTTCTTTGTACCACAGGTTTGAATTCAGTAATGTTTTCTGGAGCTAGCCCAGATTTTTTTTTTTTCTTTTTAAGGAAAAATATTAAGGTCTTCACTGCCACAGTGGGAGTGACCTGGCAAAGTGGTGATGTTATTCCAGATAATCAAGACCACGCTGAGCAATGGCCTGACAGTGTTACGCACAGCCAAGCGGCACGCGGTCATCACAATGCCACCATGTCTAACGGCAGCCCGAGAGAGGCTTTTTTTCTTTTTTTTTTTTTTTCCTGACTTGGATCACAGCAAAGTTTAATACGCTCGCTGCTGACAAGACAAACCTCGCTTGGAAGGAATGCCCTGGGCGTGCGCTGTGGGGTGCCTGTGGGCGAGGGGGGAGCACAGGAGAGGAGAAGCGGCCTCTCAAGCGGGTGGTGTTCCCTGCCAGGCCAGCTAGCCCCGTGCCTGAGCGAAACCAGGCCCTGGCGACGCACGAGGGCCTCACAGCTGTATTTTGCGCCTCCTCAGCATCAGGGCTGTTGAAAGCACTATCGTTAGTCACAGCCGATAGGACATGTCACGACAGGGAGCGCTAGCTGAAGGGCAAAGCAGCAAGTAAGCGAGATGCAAAGGCGCCCTTCTGAGCAGGGCCTGCACAGCCCGTGGAGTTCGTCTCCGTAGGATGGCCTTGCAGCCAGCAGCTGAGCTGGGCGGGAAAAATGGTTATACACCGAGAGCAGCAAAGGTGATATTCATAGTCATGTCAGACAGGTTTAAAATAAAGTCTGAAACAGTTCAAACCCGCTTTCTGCTGGGCATAAGCCAACCTGCAGAAAAAAAACTTTTTTTCCAAGGACAGACTGGCCCTTTCAGGCTAACTACAATTTGTCTGGAGGTTTGAAACGTACTGTGTTGCTGTTAAGAAACCGAAATGCTTGAGGAACTGCATCAGCCGCAACAGCGGTCAGCTGCTCTTATTTCAAACGGTTATTGAGTTCAGGCAGATCCCACCGACACACCAGCTCTATTCTTCATGCCTGCTAATGGTGGCCACTTCCTCTGCCACAGCCCTGACCTCTGCTTTGCTGGTAAGGAGCGGGTAGGCTTATTCCCCACGGAGAAAGAGCAGTTGTAGAAATCTGACACTTATTACAGTCTGTTTATCCCTTTCCCCAAGCTGAGGCCGCGATAACGATCGATTCTTTGCTTTTAGCACCTCTCTGGGATTATTTTTTTTTAGTATTTGTACCTTTGCCAAAAAACAGCAGCTGCTGTAGGTATGGCAGGGATGTGGCTTTCTCTTGGGGAGCCAGTAATGAGGTTCGGGCTCCCATTCATAATGACTGCTGCTACCTGGTGCCCTGTGTGCACGCAGCACTGCAGAAATTTAACCTGCACGCTCCCAAAGTCGCTGCAAACTCAACTATGTACTCTGTCTTCCCCAGCCTAAGCAGTGGCATTGTGCAGAGGAATCATAGAATCATTGAATCATTTAGGTTGGAAAAGACCTTTGAGATCAAGTCCAACCATTAATCTAACGCTGCCATCCCACCACTAAACCATGGCCCTCAGCACCTCGTCTGCCCATCTTTTAAATACCTCCAGGGATGGGGACTCCACCACTTCCCTGGGCAGCCCATTCCAATGCTTGACAACCCTTTCTGTGAAAAAATTTTTCCTAATGTCCAACCTAAACCTGCCCTGGCGCAGCTTCAGACCATTTCCCCTCGTCCTATCACCCATTACCAGGGAGAAGAGACCAA